ACACTTTGGGATAAAGCATACAAAAATGTACATTGGGACAGAGAGAGCACATTGCAGGAATGCCTTTAAATAATTTTTCAGTGCAATATTTATGCAAATTCCTTTGAAAATGCTAATTAACACAGAAAGGGGCTTTATGGACTTTCAAGGGAGCACAGGGAGAAGTCCAGAAGCAGAACCCCTCTCCCACAATGTGTTTTAACAGCACTATACAATTTTTTCCAGGACGTTTTCTTTCCCAGTGGAAGAGCCATTTTAATGTCTCAGGGTATGACTATATTGACATATAATGTGGGATAGTCTACAGGATTGGGACAATCTGATTTGCATTTTTCCCCCACTGAATACATGGCATATGAGTCAATGCGTATTAGTCTGAACTCTCTCCCCGCCCCCCCCCCATCTGTTGTTTTTTCCTCTGCCATTGGGGCTTCTACCTTTTTTTTCACAGCAGATACATTTGCATCTGTTGGAGTGGTGTGATTGCTTGAACAGATGTAGCGGAATTTGTAGCTGTTTCTGGCCATTCCATCCAGCTTTGCTAGCAGTGGATGAGAGAGGCTGAATCCTCTCCTCCCCACATCTGGTGCCTGGGTCTGCTTCTTTCTCTCTTCCTTTCCTCTTCTTTATTTTCTTTTCCTTTTCTTTTAAAAGCTGGCTGACCTAGCACCGAAGTAGGGAAGGAAGTGGGAATGAGGCTTTAAGGCAGCTGTACGGTAATTGTGCCTGCTGGAAACCTGCACAGCCAGAGCAGAGCAGAACTACCTTCTGGAACAAGGCTAAAGGGGAAAAATGCACTAAAATGGTGGCATATAAATCAAAACAATCCATAAAATAAATACATTTAACAGTCTACAGCTTCCTGGCTGCCCACACATTCTGAACTGGGAAAGTGAAGTGCAAGAAGCCAAGGCAGCAGCTAGCTGCTGGAAGGATGATTGTGTAATGAAAGACAAGGCATTTGCACATACCCCTTAGCCACCTCATGACTGGACCCAAGAACCCGAAACTATACTGGTGGAGATTTCTCAAAATTTATTTCCACCCTTGAATTATTTTCTTTATTTTATTAATCACTCTTCTGCTCAAAGCGAAGCCGTATAATGTTCAAAGGTGTGTATGTGATTGCAAAGCGTTATTTGAAAACATTTTTTTACACCTAACCATGCAGAATAACAGCTCTGGCCACCTGTGTTTAAATTGCTTTCTGAAAGCAATTTCTCCTTCACCAAATGGAACGAGGGATGGCCATAACCTGTACGGACAAATTTTCAACAGAGAACCAGTTTTCAGCGACTGATAATAACCCACATAGTTTATTGAACCACAGTTGTAGCCCCCCCAGAGTTTTCATATCTGGTTGGCTTCTTTCCATCCGTGTCTTGCTCCCCTTATATGGCACGGTTCTACTCAAGAGTTCAGTGCCTTCTGATAAAGATCTCGCCAGTTTCATCCTCGAGTATTTCTTCAATCCGGCCTCTCTGGAAAACAAATTAAAGAAAGGAAAATGACATCGGAGAGCAATGGAATTCCCAGATATATTTAGAAGCCTATTCATTCAAAATCTTGACAGAGTTGGGACAAAGGGAGAAAACCGGTAAAGGCAGGATTGCTGCGTTTATCTGAAATAAGCAGGAGTCTTGTATTTGTCTAGTCATACGATTATTTTCACATATTAATAGTCTAAACAATTTTTGATGTGTTGCCAAAGGCATTTTGCAAATGAATAGCAGAAGCGAATTCAGGGTTTTAAACCCCATGCTAGAAGTTATTTCTACCTTTCATTCTGGCAGGGAGACAACTTTTAAAAGCATAGTCTTTAAAACAATGCTGTTTCTCCTCCTTGGGTCTCCAAAGTGCTTTTTTAAAAACAACTCAGAACTGGTTAAGCAATGTGACATTTAGACATATGCCGCACGGGGCTTAAATTGAGCCAGGAAATTTCCCGGCGGTGGTTCAGTCCTGAAACACACGTGGTTAGTGTGCGCGATCAAGATTCCTTTGAGCATGTGCCCGACTGTGTCTCCTACAGCATGGACCCACCTCAGCCACACACTATCAGGTTTCTAGACAGAGTGGGGTGAGCGACTGGTGCTGAGCTTCAGAATTTCTCTTTTCAAAATGCAACTACAGTAGATCCAGCTTTGTGAGCCAATGGATATATATCTGTGAAAGCCAGGATCATCCCAGCCAGTTGTGGGTGCCACCATTTTATACAGTGGTGCCTCGCTAGATGATGATAATCCGTTCCACTGAAATTGCTGTTTAG